TATCTTTACATTAATAATTTTTAATAAAATTTTCTTTAAAGTCTTTTTTAAAGATAGTGTACATAAACAAAAAACCAAAAATTTTCATCCACGGCATCAAAAAATATTCATAGATTAACCATAATTAAAAATTTAGAAAACACTATTTATCTTTTTTTTCCTTTTTGATTTTCATAAAAATTACTTCCAAATGGGTTTCCCCCAAAAAATTTTATTAAAACTTATCTATAGTATAGGTGTGCATGTTAGATCGACTAGAGTTTTAAAACCTAGCTTGCATGTTCTTAAGTCCGAACTTTTGTGATGAATTTGTAGACACTACTATTTTTAAAATATGCATCTAATATGCATCAGAAGCCGCCATTTGTTTCTCCCTGGAGGAGGATCAAACCCCAGACGACCGGCAAAATTTTCTGGGTTCGTCCCTGTAAGTAATGTTTTGTTGGCCGGGTTGCACGGGTGCAAACCCGGATCAAAGTATAGCGATGCTGAGCGGCGGACGGGCGTGAAAAATTTTCGTAACAGTTTTCTCAGCAACTACTTATCACAACCTCTTGATATTTGGTATACATCATCAACACGTGGTCCATAAGGTGTGTTTCAATTTCAGGATTGTCGCACATCCACCTCCTGTTTACCGACTTAATTAATTTTTCGACATTAATGGATAATGGTAAGAAATTTTCGTAACAGTTTACTTAGCAACTATTAATCACAACCTCTTGATATTTGGTATACAGCATAAACACGTGATCCCATAAGGCGGGTTTCAATTTCGGGACTGTCGCTCATCACTTTAATTCATGTTTACCCGACTAAGTAAAATTCTCGACATTAATGGTCAATGGTATGAAATTTTCGAAACAGTTTTTTCTTAGCAACTACCTGTCACAGCCTCTTGATATTAGGTATACAGAATAAACATGTGGTCCCATACGGATCGAGGGATACAATGTCAGGTCTGTCGCTCGTCCACTTCATGTTTACCGACTTAGTTCTAAACTCTCGACATTAATTGTCAATGGTATGAAATTTTCGTAACAGTTTTTTTACAACTACCTATCACAGCCCACAGCATTAACCCGTGGTCCCAACAGTGGGTTTCAATTTCAAGTCAGTCGGTCATCCACTCTATGTTTACCGACTTGACAATTTTTCGACGAAAAGATCAAGGGTGGGAAAAATTTTCGAACTTTTTAGCAAAAAATTAACACAACTTGGTATTTGGGTAACAGAAAAACATGGGGCCCCAACGGGGGGATCAATGTCGGTCTTCGCTCACACTTCTTTTTATCATTTAAATTTTAAATTTCTCACATTCATAGTCGGGGAGAAATTCACGTTTATGATTTTTGGTGGGAAATTTCTGTCTTTGAACCCTTTTTTTATTTTTGGGGTATATTTGTTACTTTATTTTTACATTAAAAATTTTTGATTTTAATATTACATAACCGTGTATTGGTAATTTATTAAATTTACTAATGTTTTTATTATAAATTTAAACTATGATTATATTTATGTTGAGAAATTTTAAATTGTTTGAACTTTTGATTGTAACTTTTTTGAACTACAATTTGTTGGTCATAAAACATAAACTTTGATGTAATGTTACAAGTAATGATCTTTTACTGCAAAAAATAACATTTTGACACAGTTATACTTAAAATATTAACGATATGATTGTTTGATAATAGGAATGATATCATTTGAACATGAAACACCAATATGTTATTTTCTTTTAATTATTTATAATTTGAATGCGTTAGAAGACACTTTTTATATACATTAAAGCGGCCTTCAGCTTTTATTTTTTGCTGGAAAAACATTTTGTTTTTGTTGTTCCAAACCACATGCAGGGATAAGCCGCTTTTGTCTGATATTATCCACTACCGCTACTCCCTCCCTCGAGTCCCTGTTACAAACCCAAAAATATGATTAGAAGTCAATTTCAACATTAAGTATTCATAACAACCATAATATGATACCATTTTTTACAATTTTCATTATACCTCTCAAAAGTTTTAGTTATACCAGAGACATAGATAACATCTATAATTGAGCCGCGCCATGACAGAACCAACATAATGGGTTGGTCTGTATCCATGCTGGTCGCAAATCCATTATGTTGGTTTTGTCATGGCGCGGCACATATGTTATTTACATCTCTTGTTATACAAAGGGGGTAGCAACTACGGTATTCCGTTAGGGTCATCGTAGTTATACTTTATTATACAGAGTGCGATAGTGCGATGACGACAATACGACAATGCGATGGCGACAATGCGTTAGCGATAATGCGATGACGACAGTACGATAATTCGACAATGCCATAGTGCGATGGCGACAATGTGATAATGCGTCAAAGCATTTGAAAAAAATGCCTTGTTAACTTATATGAACATTGATCCTCAAGTAATTAGCCAGGACATGGAATACATAGTAAGGTCGAATTTAATAAATGTACATATATGATACTTCAATACAAGTTTAAAAAAAAACTATGTATCAAATTCAACGTTTATAGCCAAGATAATAGACGGTTAAATATTTGATATTTTACATATTGAGTATTGTGTTTCTTCGAAGATTTTTTTAAAGAACACATGTACTAGTACATTGGTTAAAAAAGTTGGAGTGGATGTGCTTTTTTTGATTCTGCAAAAACGAAGTCTACATAGCGTGCATATGTTAAGATAAGATTTAAAATATGTTAACAGAAATACCGGTAGTTATTTGTGTCTAAAAGTCATTTTGTAAATTGTATAAGGTACATTATAAACATTTATTTAATAATATCTTGAAACAAGCTTATATGCCAGAGAAGAGTGTCATAATGATACAAAGCCTACCAAAAAAAAAAAAAAAAAAAAAAAAAAAACGTGTTGAGCAAAGGGTCATCCATAAGATATAATAAAATTAACATATTGTTTTCACATTATTTTTGTTATTTGGTCATATGATCATTTAAAGTAAGTTTATATTACCATTACAATCTTAATATGATTAAATGTGCAATAAAATCATCTTTATGCTCAAATTATCAAATTCACTGAATCATCATATATTAACACTCTATATTATAGTATAGTAGCAATCAAAACACAATATAGACTTAAAATTATTGGTATGTTTTCAGTCAAATTTTAAATAACATTATAATAAACTCTTTGTCTTTACAAACTGACTTGTTATGCTCTTAACAAAATTGGACTGTATTTTATATCAGTTTGATAATGACCTGCCATGTTTTAACCTATATTGAGTTGCATTCTATATTAACAAGGTGTATATAATCAGTTCAATAAAAAGAAACGCTTTTCTTAAGCTTTCGACGTTTTAGTCTTCTTCAGAAAAAATTGACGTCTATAAAATGACAAATGACGCCACGTCTGTTTAACTATACGCTAAACAGAACGTGACGTTAACGCGGGAATAAAAAACTTTGTCAAATAAATACAGAACCTTTCTTGAATATAGATACAACAATATACAATAAATTACACATATAATATGGATCTGCACATGTGATATAAAATTTCTCATAATTAATAATAATAAAAAAACTTTGATATGAGAAAGAACATACTACATGTATATGTATACCGGCTCAATAATGACAAAGTTATATATTGTACAAAACTTTTGCATTCATACCATTAGGAGATAATGTGTTAAGCTTATGAATCCAGTATGATTCTTGTAATAAGCGTTCCGTATCATCGGAAACAATCTCTATATGGGCATAAATTTAAAATCCTTAATACAATGGTTAGTTTTATTGAACAAGGAAAATTCTGCTAATTAGTCCAATCCATCTCTAGACAAATATAATACTATAAAAATGCTTACTTTTTTGTTTTTTACCTTTTAATAGTAAGCTTTTATTAAAGATATTGCTGTTGGCAGATTTTACAGTTGATATCATGTGATGTTTAAAAATTTTTTTAATGTGTACGACTTCATATATATTTAGCGCGTCACGAAAACCCAAAAAAATGTTTTGTGACCACATTTATCCAGAAACCTGCACATCAGGTCCCTGCGTTCCCTTACCCCTATACAAGTAGAAAAAATATAGCAACAGCGATCTGATCAACTTTTCGCATGCGCATCTGGTCTGGATCAATGCTGGTCGCAAACGCACTATGTTGGTTTTGTCGTGACGCGTCTCATATATGTGTATGTATTTCAAATATACACATATATATGCCCATAACATGACATAATATAGTTTTCATTGTAAAATACATGTATGTAAAATATCTTAAGTCTCTTGTAATTGTACTGAAAGAATGACTATGTACAATGTAATGCTTATCTTTTATGTTGAAAAATATGTAACTGTACACAGATGAGACTATAATAAATAAATAATAAAATCCGAAAAATGAGACGATCATTATTGAGTTAAAATTGTTGAAATAGTATAAGTATCCCTGGTCTATGGAAAAGGCGATAATAATCGCATGAGAAGCTAGCGAAATTTAAGATATGCGAAATAAAGTACTAAATTTCACCCTTTAGAGGCGATTATTATCGCGTGTTTACTAACGAAATTTTGTGGACGAAATACGACACCGTGCACAACCCATAATATCATAATGGTACGACCGAATAATGTAAAATCAATAATTCAAACACATTCGGAACTGTCACGGCTATTATCTATAATAACCTTATCCTTATCCGAAGACTGACGGAAAAGGCCGAGTAGTTGCGATCGACTTCATGGAAATTTAACTTCCGCGTTCCAAAGTTGACGTGTTTAGCAACGAAATGTAAACATTCGACAGCTAACGTATGTAAACATTCGACAGCTAACGTTTGGATCGGAACAATATATTATGACTTACATGATCATTTTTATTTAGTTAAATCAGTTTAAAAAAAAATGAAATATCTAACTTTGTGAAGTCGCTGAATATTGACCTCAAGATTTAAATGTATGTACATGTATATATGTAAATTCTAAAATAGGGACAACATAATCGTTACACAAAATGGCGGAAAGTGGAAGTAAAATAGGAGAGGATGATGAAGTTCCTGGTCGTGTGAAGGAACATTTGTGTCAACCATGTTTAAGTAAGGATAAGCAAACTGTAGCTGACAAGTTTTGTTCAACTTGTAATGAATTTCAATGTAATGATTGTTCAAATGTACACAACGTGCTCGCCATCTTAAAAGATCATAAATTGGTAAGTGTGAAAGAAGCTAATGCTTCAACTACTTTGTTTGAAAAGGAGAACTTAGATTTATGTGATCAACATCAAAAACTTTTTGAATTCTTCTGTGAAGATGAAAAGAAACTTTGCTGCAGCACTTGTGCTATTGTTAATCACCGAAAATGTCACAGCGTTGTAGAAATTGAGAAGATTGCCGGAAAAATATCCTCACCAATTTCTACCTTAGGGGACAAATTGAAAGCAGCTAAAGAAGTTGCTGAGAGCGTTGCAACACTTATTTGCTCTTCAAAAGATCAACTTGCTCAAGATATAAAAGAAATACATGTAAAGATTAGACGAATGCGAGATGAAGTTATCGGAATATTTGACGATTTAGAAGATTCCGTCATCAAGAGAGCTGAAATTCTTCAGAGAGAAACATTAGAAAATCTGTCAAAGAAACAAAAACAAAACGAGGAATATTTGGCTGATGTGACATCGTGCTTAGAGACGATTGAAAGTATTTTCAAAAATGGAACTCCAGTGCAGAAATATATAGCAGAACATAAAATGGAGAATAACGTCAATGATCTCTGCAGAAACATCAAGGAGGAATGTCAGAAAGTCAGAGACCGTTCACATTTCTTTTCATTTTGACGAAATATTAAAAACTGCCGCCATTGCCAAATTACTGAATATGTTCCAGGACAATTATTATTAAAGTCAACTCGTCAGGGAGATGTTAATTCTGTTAATAAGGCGATGAAGTTAACACCAGTTTCTGCTATTGATTTAAAGAAGACGGGAGATGATATCAATGAAACCGTTGTTTACAGGCATAGACTTTCTACCTGATGGTAGACTGGTGGCTGTGGATAACAAAAACAAGAAATGTTCAGTGTACAATGAGAAGCTTGAGAAAGTAGGATCATATCAGCTATCTTACCCACCATTATCTGTTGTTGTAGTATCTGAGGAGGAAGTAGCGATAAGCGGTAATGTAAAGAATATCGAATTTCTACATGTTAGTAAATGTAATGAAATAACTTCAAGAAGGACAAGTAAAGTGAAAACAAAATATCACACTTTATGTTTGAAAGATGATAGACAGTTTGTAGTAGGGACTTATGATGATCCAAGACCTGTTCGTATTGTATCATTGACAGGAGAGGAGCGTGATTTTAGTGTACACTTTCCAAACAAGACATATTCTATAGATTCCAGCGATTGTACTTACATAAAGGGCAGTGACAAAGTAGTGATTACAGACAGATACGAGCATACTGTCTACATATATGACATCAAGACAGACACGAGAGTCGTAGTGAAGGATAATCTGATACAGGAACCACGTGGTGTAACAATTGGTCCCTCTGATACTATCCTGGTGTGTTGTGGTAAAACAAACTGTATTGTACAGATATCACAAACAGGTCAGATATTATCATCGTACAAGTTAGATATGACATATCCATGGACAATGTGTGTCTCACGTGATAAATCATTCATTGTTGTTGCAAATAACTCTCCTGGAAATAATAAAATGCAGAAATTCAAAATATCATGTTAGTAACACAATCATTTGTTTCACTTAGAATTAACACACCCATGCAAAGTTATTAAAAAAATGAAACAAAAATTTATCGGTTACATATGATGGGTGGATCATGGGATAATACTTACGTTCTAGCATCGAAGTAGCTGTTCATAAAGAAAACATTCAAATAAAACATTATGCTGAGAAAAGGTGTGCTAACAAAAATGTAGTTAAAGATCATGTAAGTTGTAATTGAGGTTGTTAACACTTTACTGAAATTTTATATATGTATATACTTATGCTTATAAAACAATTTTCAAAATATAAAATATGTACTGCAAATATTTGTGCAAATCATATGTAATCATTAAAATATATGCATTCATTTCTTCTCGAAAATTTTTACTTAGACTTTCTAATTATCTATTTACCTCCCTTTATTTACTTTTTTTGGAACTTACAATATTGATAAATCTTAATTTGAGCAATATATTTATGATATGATATAAAGCCATAAAAATTGTGTTACATGATCTTTATTGTATGCTATGACAGACAGATGAAACATGTTAACCATTTAATATTAATAATTCCAATGATTTCAAATTATATATTAATATATATCATTTTAAGCACACGTGCGTTTAATTTGAATGTCATCTATTAATCGACAGATTGTACTTTTCACCTGCAGACGACTCAATCAAACAGAGTTTGCAAGTTTCGTGCAATTTTATTGTAATATTGTTTCTGAAGTGTCACATTTTTTATTATACCCCCGCACAACGAAGTTGTAAGGTGGGTATACTGGAATCAGCTTGTCCGTCCGGACGTCGTCCGTCCGGACGTCTCCCCGTCCGGCTGTCCATCAGTTTTTCCTTGTCCGCTCAAAAACTTAAGATTCCTTTGACCCAGTCTTCATATTTGGTACATTGTATTTAGATTAGTCATGATTAGTAGATGATCCCTATTGATTTTGAGGTCACCAGGTCAAAGGTCAAGGTCACAGGGGCTTGACTATAAAAAGCTTGACCGCCCAACAACTTCAGATTCCTTTGACCAACAGTCTTCATATTTGGCATGGAGGTTAGTCAGGATTAGTAGATGACCTCTAATGATTTTGTGGTTACTTGGTCAAAGGTCAAGCTCAAAGGGACCTTGACTAAAAAAAACTTGTCCGCCCAAGAACTTCACATTCTTTTGACCCACAGTCTTCATATTTGGCATGGAGGTTAGTCAGGATTAGTAGATGACCCCTAATGATTTTGAGGTCACTGGGTCAAGGTCAAGGTCAAAGGGGCCTTGACTATAAAAAAATTGTCCGCCCAATAACTTAAGATTCCTTTGACCCACAATCTTCATATTTGGCATGGAGGTTAGTCATGATTAATAAATGACCCCTTTTGACTTTTAGGTCATTTGGTCAAAGGTCAAGGTCACAGGGGCCTTGACTTCAAAAAAGTTATCCGCCCAATAACTTTAGATTCCTTTGACCCACAGTCTCCATATTTGGCATGGAGGTTGATTTTGACCATGATTTTAAGTTCACAGGGTCAAAGGTCAAGGTCACAGTGGCCTTGGCTAAAAAAGCTTTTCTGCTCAATTGCTTAAGAATGCTGTTGTCAACATACTTCATATTTGGTATTGAAGTTGTTTATGACTAGTAGATGACCCATATTGATTTTAGGTGACTGTGTCAAAGGTCCAGTCACAGGGATTTTTACTGTAATGACTATAATAAGTTTGTCTGCTCAAATGCTTAAGAATGCCTGTCTGCAGTGTATTAATTTTGACATTTTCACATTTGAAGCATGTAGAATACATAGCTTAGCAATGCACTGGCTTAGTAACTCAGATTTGGCAGGGAAGGTTGTCTTGAGCTCTAAATGGCAACTTTTGATTCTGACAAAGTGGTATGCGGGGGTATTCACGCCATAACAGTGGCAGTTCTAGTTTAGCACGGCTTACATGTAAAGTAGTTATGTTCTGTACCATAGTTATCTTATTCTTTTAATCATCACAGAATGTTGAATGTACTATTATGCATTTGTTTGTAAATATCAAATTGCCGAAGATTTTTTTGTTCAAATATTTGTGATATCATGTCACTACGTTATTTTAATACATTAAACCCTCACTTCCTGCCTTATTAGAGAGTGATCTTATCCTGCCTGACCTGAAAGTGATTAGCTTTTGCCATCAGTATACAGCCAAGCCAGCATGTACATTCGACCCGTCTGACCAGTGTTTTTCTATTCTAATATTAAATCTTAAACACTTCAAATGGGCTGTACCAAACTTAATAAAGGCAAATCCATTTCATGAATTAAACATATTCAGGATTAATAAAGATAAAGTTTCTTAGCTTCAGTTGACGCCGCTATTAGAAAATATATCATAATTTAATAGATACATTGTATGTAAAGAATCATTGTTAGCCATTACATGAAAGTTATGTTAGAAAATGTATATATTTTACTGTGTCTTATTATATATCTAATATCATGCTCATCAGGATGAATAAATATATCTATCCGGAGTTATGGTATTTGTGTTTTATATTTTGATTGCATTGCTTTATCTAAATATCATATATTTTCCTTCCTTAAATATTCAAAAGGGAAGAACATAAAAAAGCGTTACGTAAGAAATATATTCCCTTGGTATATCGTGACATTGTAATATAAATGCAGATTTTAAAACAAATGTTAAACACGTTTTAGTGCTCGCCAATGTTTTTAAGCCAATCACCGACGAGGATTTTTCAAATTTTCAGGTTTCAAATCTTAATAGAACAGATTTTATATAAACTGGACGTTTTATATTATAAACGCAAGTGGGCGGAGCTAAGTTTCGAAGAGCGCTAAAGTGAAATATACGCATGTGCAGAGATCTTGAAGTTTACTCCTACTAATCAATATTTATGCATCATGTTTTTTCCGTACACGCACATGTATATCGTCACTACGGCATAGAATTAAAAAGAGGTTCATTGAAAATGAAAACAGGCAAAATAACAGTAAAAATGTTTTATTACTTACGGAACCAGTATCATTTAAAAAGTTCACTTATTCCAAAAAAGGATGTATGTAATATTTCTTAATTTTTATGTAAATATTACAGCCCGTGCCGCTGCAAAACCGAAAGTAGGGTGTTTTTATTAATTTTACATTTATTTTTGACAATATACTACCATTTGTCCGAAGATGACATGTATATGAACATAATAAATATGTATGATGCATATATAATCAAGCTACAGGTTCATTTCAGCCCGAAAAATATGTCGAGGTGACGGGCGAGGCAATACATGTCGACTTTTTGTAGCTTATTGTGAAGTTGCAGTACATGAAAATCGGGCACATGACAAATCAGCACATAAATAAAACATTCTAGTGTTCCGTGGAATACATCTTTTCTACGTGTCATACCTCCTTTCCTTATTACAATGAATTTTTACTGCATTGTTATCCATCGCTGGTTTGTTTTAGCAGAGAATGACCTGTGTATGTTCAAAGAGGGTACCGTTTGAGAATATTTCGCAAAGAGGGTATACATGCACCGTGATATTGTCTGATTTACCTAGACAGAATGCGGGAATAAGCTATGCAAAACACGTGACCCGAAAATGTGTACCGCTACCTCTTCCAAATATGGTTACTGCATATTTAGGCTATCGTGTGACGTCACGCGGTGTGTTGGGCGGAAAAAATGGGCGGAGCACTAAGCCGGTTAGAGTGCATATTGGATTTCTTCGTAAATAAGAAAGCTACAGTCGCTTCGCAAGCTCCGCTCCTTTTTAGCTTTCTTATTTACGAAGAACACCCAATATGCACTCTAACCTATACTTAGATCAAATCAATCAATCAATCAATCGTATTTTCTATTCAGAATGATTTTCAAATGATCAATATTGTCAAACAATGCTTAAAGTGCAATTAATTGCTACTTGAATTAACAAATTCACGATTTCAGCATCACGAATTTATGATTTCAACTTCATAAAATTAACTTCACGACTTTACGTTTTGAGTTTCACTATATCAACTTTACAAATTCAAGATTTTCAACTATTCGAATTCTTGAAAAAAAAATAATGATGTTGAATTCGTGATTTTGAGATCGTGAATTTATGAAATTAAAGTTTCATCACAGTACAAGAGGGTGTGAATTAAAAACCTTTTAATTTTGTCAGCAGGTAAAATTTCAAACATCTTTCATTCACCACAAACAAATATGCTTCATATTGGACAACTTATTTTATTATTTCAAAAGGACAATGCAGGAGATGAGAGACAAAAAACGAAGATCGGTCATCTTTGAATATAATATATACGTGCTGAAACTATTTTATTGGTATTTAAATTACTACTATGACGCCATTCCTTTGTTCTGACCGTACTGTATTTTTAATACAGTACAGGTAGGTGTCCAATATTAATGTGTAAGTCCAATATTAATCATGTAACACATTAATATTAGACAGCGTGCCGTCTCTTGAAAGAAGCTTGTATGACCACATGATTTTGTGGAAAATTCTCCAAATAAAAAAAAAACAAACAAAAAAAAAAAAAAAAAAAAAAAAAAAAAAGAAAAATGTAGCCTCGTTTCTCAGAAGTTAACAGGAGGAAAGATGAAATGTCTTTCCTTCGCCCATTACGCAATTACATAATTTTATAAAAAGAACAATACTAGTCTTGTTCTCTGACTCATTTAACAAATTTTTATTCCAAACCTACTGAATTTCGATTTTCAAGCTCTTAACATCATATCACTGTTTCCGCTTTCCAAGTGAAAGAAAGCGGAGCGTCAGTTAATATATGATTTTTATGGGATTAATTTCTTGTCTATTGTCCGTATTTTTCTGTTTTAAATACATGTATACGTTAAGTTGACAATCATACAGTACATGATTTGCTTTATTGTATGTACGATATGTTTCAGTTAGGTCAACTTTTTAAGTAAGGGTAATGGTCAGCTTTTAAATACAAAAGAAAAAATACATTATTTAAAACAAAAGCGGTAACCGTTATGTTTGAAAGAAACGATTCCAGACACCTGTGGTATTACAAATATCTACTCAAAAATAAGAAAATATCATTTTGTTGCATTAATATCCAAAATTTTACATCCGTGATAGTTGTAGTAAAGTAAAAATAACATTTTAACACTAAATGGTCAGTAAAAATCCTTCTTTAAAGTCATAGATTGTTTTAGTCAATCATTTAAAATATCCGAGATTCAACACAAATTTGAAAACATTTCATTTTTATTATTCCTTGTAAAAATCCCAAATGTAATTTCATGTATACTGTATGTGTGTAAGTCCAACATTTTGTGTAACTGGTATATTTTGTGTATATCATTGTGTTCATGTACATAATTGGTCATATTTCAAAACACGAAAATTTCATGCTACGGACATTTTGTTATTCAAGAGGCTACCTATAGGGTTTTGCAAGTAAGAAAAAGATAATTGCTAAAACAATAATATTGTACATTTCTAGCTCAAAAATACATTATTTCTAATTTTCGATAGATAACATGATATTTGATAGTAAAAGTAGTAATTTGAGTAAGATATAAGCCTCAAACTGACCAATAAGTAAAATATTGAATTCCCTTCGGTGCTACGCGCCTCATGCAATTCAATATTTTACATATTGGACAGTTTTCGGCTTATATCTACTACATAAATGGGTGACATTTGACTAAAAGCTATATTCATGTCAAATGATATAAGCACGTGAGCATAGCACAGGGAAAGGCATGAAAAAATGTTTTTCAATAGTTCGTTGGAACAGGTTCCAATTCCGGTCTATTTATGCAATGTTCAATCGATATACGTCCCCGGTAATAATGCCTGAAATGAAAACAGCCGTAGTCTAAATCAAAGCACTGAAAGTACTGTTGGAAGGAAATTTTCATAGAAATACCTAATGCGTGTGAATTAAAAACAAAGGAATATGTGCAAGCTTCAATCTACAGCTAGCTGATTTGATGACGTAAAATGTGACGTCATTGTTTCCGTTTTTTCACTACTCATGTTCAGTGGGCTGAAAACTAGTTCTTGGCCCAGGGCCCCAAACCCATAAGTTGTGACACTCATAATCAGTTGAAATCATAGGCAATTCTGTTACTAATATAGTAATAAGTGAATTAATAGATAATACTACTGCATTATGCACACAAAGAACCACTCAGTTTGACCTAAATCGGCCATGACTTATATGACTACTTCATAGGAATTCAAGACCATGCCATAAGCATTATTTAATCATAGTTAATGAAGAGACTTTTTATTTTAAACTCAAGGACAAGAAAAGCTCATCATGTGCTTATATTTGTAAGTTCAAACATAACTAATTATGTTTTAGTATGAAATTGATGTACATGCTGTTAAAGTCATAGCAAAACAAAGAACAATGATTTAAAATAAACTTTTATTGTCAAAACTTGCATAAAAGTAAAAATATATGTAATATAAAAAATAAATGATTAAATATATGGAGATAATGAAATTTAGTTTGTCAGATAAAATGTGTAAAAGGAACTCCACTGAGGTTTTTTGACATGATGAGACTGAAATTTATTTTTCTAGATTAATGTACCACTTGATGTATGTTTTGACCACTAATCTTTGAGAAAAATTTCAGATCATTTGCGCACTTCGTTTTTCAAGAATAATTATTCAAATTGTAAAAATATTACCCAAAATGAAAGCGTTTAAACACATATCACGCAGATCAGGCTGAGAAAAGCATAAAAAAATTGATTTTCAATTCCTTTCAAAGTATATTTCTTCCCTATCTGTGCATATATTTCTGTATCAAGTGCCCCGGCTCATTTCTGTAGAAATTCAAATGTTATGTTTTAGGCTTTTAAACCTCAATGGAGTGAGTCCCTTTAAATTATTGGTACATATTGAGGTGATACAAGTTATAACAATCTGAATGAAAGAAGCTTTAATGCAAACGGACAGTAATATACGAGGTGCTGTTTTAAGGATTTTTTACATACAAGACTGACATTATACAACAAAATATAGTCAAAAGTAGAAATGTGCCCATAGGACTTGAATGCCTGCGTTAAGAACAATGCTTTTATTGAGTGGGTAATCAAAATATGTACATAATTAGACAAGCCTACTGGCAGCATATATCAAGCCTGTTGCCATTATTCAGAACTGAACCTTAAAGCTTCAGATTGGGGAGAAAGATGTATACATAAGTGAGCATTTGTGATAAATGTTATGAAAATCCAGCCATGTATATAGAAATATACTCTTATGTTTTAAGTTATTATTTGACTTTTGATCCAAAGTAGTGACCTTGATCTTTGCAACAGACACCTGATTTTTCATACTACACTCCAACTCACTAAAGACTGTTAAATTTTGTCCAGAGTTATATGAAAAATCTTTAAAGATTTCAAAAGCATTCAAATATTATCAGTTATGAATCAATTTTTTGCATATGATTTAGTAAGGAATGCATAATGTTGTATAAATTTTGTGGAATGTAACTGAAATCATACTTGACCTGTGTTTTGATTTATTGTTGAATATACCAATTATAAATTGTATCCTTAAAAGGTGTACAAATCTTATTGGTTAGCTTACAAGAGCATTTCTGTTTTCATATTTTACTAGGTAAAGTACAAAGAAATGATATTGTTATAATTTTATGAGCCATCACATCAAACCGTGATCAATGTAATATGAAGTATGGGAAAATAAGTAACAAGAAGTGCATGTTTAACTAAACAGAATGTATGATTCAGAGGAACACTGTAAAAATAAAGTAAATAATGTTTAAAAAAAAACAACAAAAAAAAACATAAAAAAGTTGACCATCATTTGGACTTTCATGAGTTGGCCATGCTAATCTTAGAATAAGAACATAAATAAAGTACAACATTATACAAAAGGTAGTACAAAAAATACAATGATCAAAAGTTTGAAAGTGAACACTTGTTGGTAAAATAAACAAGAATTTTGACAGAGATACCAACGTCCCCCGCCTCAGGGAAGTTTTATATGAAGCAAAAAATTGTGCTATTTCAAAAGATTGAGGCAGGGATCTAAGGATTTTCAGTCCAAAATTATGATCAATGCTGGATCTGCAAATGCAACAATAAATTTATTAAAGAAATAAAATGAAATACTGAATTTCAAAATATATCATGTTAAGCTTTGCAGGGATTTTTGGCTTATTTTATAGCCGTTATTGGGACATATTCCCAATTGAAAATAGTATATTATTTTCCCAATCCAAAGGAAAATATTCCCAATTGAAAGTTACAAAAATATAAATATTGAATAAAGAATTCTAAAATCTTTGAAAATAAGGGCTTCTTTACTGTAATAGTGTTTAAATGTTTGAAGAAGCCATCCTAGGCAGTGATTGCTTGCATACATTTAATCACTGCAAACGTTCAGTCATACATTTTTTCCAAATTTTAACAAAATATCGCTGAAATTCCCAGTTGCATGGGTATGGGTTATGTTCCCAAAATCCTAGAAAAAATCCCTGCTTTGACCTCTAAGTGTGACCTTGACCTTGGAGGTAGGGGTGCAGGTGTTGTGCATGACATATCATCTTATCATTGTGACTATTTGTGCCAAGTATTTTCCAAATCCCTTCATCTATGAAGAAGTTATGGACGGGGCATAAAATATACCATATAACAGACTTTGTTACCTTTATACCTCTAAGTGTGACCTTGACCTTGGAGGCAGGGGTGCAGGTGTTGTAATTGACATATCGTCTTATTATTTTGACTATTTGTGCCAAGTTATTTCAAAATCCCTTGAACTATGAAGAAGTTCTACATTGGACACAATATATACCCTTTAAAAGACTGTTAATTTTTTACCTCGAAATGTGACCCTGACCTTGGAGGTAGGGATGCAGGTGTTGCGCTTGACACATTGTCTTATTATAGTGAATATTTGTGCCAAGTGTTTTCAAAATCCTTTGATATACAAAAAAGTTATGGACAGGACAAAAAAAACAACCCTATAACAGGCTATGTTAATCTTAGACCTCCAAGTGTGACCTTGACCTTGTAGGTTGGTGACCGATTGTTGCGCATAACACATCATCTCATTGTTGTGAACAATTGCGGCAAGTATTTACAAAATCCTTTTAAAGATAAGAAAGGTATAGACTGGACACGAGATATACCCTCAAATGGACAATGTTGACCTTGAATGAGCAAGTGTGACCTTGACCCTGAAGGTAAGGGTCTGGTTGTTGCACATCATCGTCTTATTATAACAAACATTTGTGCCAAGTTATTTCAAATTCCTTCAATAAATGACAAAGTTATGGACCGGACACGAAATATACCCTGTAACAGGCTATGCTAATATTTGACCTCCAAGTGTGACCTTGACCTTGGAGGCAGGTGAGCTGTTGTTGAGCAAGATACATCTTCTCATTATTGTGAGAAATTGTGGCAAGAATTTACAAAATCCCTTTAGAGATAGGGAAGACCAGACAGGAGATATACTCTCAAATAGACAAGTTGACCTTGAATGAGCAAGTGCGACCTTGACCCTGGAGGTAGGGGTCTGGTTGTTGACATGACTCATTGTCTTATTATAACAATCATTTCTGCCAAGTTATTTCAAATTCCTTCAATAAAAGCTTGAAATTGATAAAGATTTGTTCATACATATTTCAACAAGATTGTTGAACAAGAGGGCCATGTGTATATAGGCCCCTGGTGAAGGGCCAGTTTAAACCCCAGGGCTTTTATTTGACCAAACTTGTAAGACACCCGTTAGAAGATGTTTCATGATGTTAAGTTTTTACTACACACATATAATGTAAAACAAAGACCTCTGCACCACCCCCCACCCCGGCATGGCCAATTTTTATACAAGGGCTTAAATTTGAACAAACTTGGTCGACACCATAAGATGTTTCATGCTAAACATCTAGGCTCTAGCTCATTGGGTTTTTTAAAAGAAGATTTTTTAAGTTTTTACTATACACAAATAGTTAAAAACAATGAAACCCCTGGGGTGGGGCCTTGTACACACTTACCAGAAGATGTTTCATGCTTAATATCTAAACTCTAGCTATTTAGGTTTTTTCAAAGAAGGTTTTTAAGTTTTTGCTATACACATATAAGGAAAATCAATGACCCCAGGGGAGGGGCCAATTTTGACCCCAGGGCTTTTATTTGAACAAACTTTGTAGACACTCACTAGAAGATGTTTCATACCTTTAAAAAAAGATACTTTGTCTAAGCTCTAGCTCTTTGGGTTCTTTAAAAGAAGATACTTTAAGTTTTTTTCTTTTGGTTGCCATGGCAACCAGCGTTCTATGAACAATATTTAGAGGTGACCACCAAAGAAACATTCCTGTGAAGTTTGGATGAAATTGGCTTAGTGGTTTATGAGGAGATGTCATTTAAAGTGGACGCCAGACGAAAAGCGATCAAAAAAGCTCACCCTGTCACTTTGTGACAGGTGAGCTAAAAATAGTTAAGTGATCTTATTTTCCTGGTGAAAAACTGGTGGCTCAATAAAGTTCTATACATATTATGATATTTCAAATATTGGAAAGTTATCTCTAGTTCTTGGTGAAAGACTGGTGACTAGTTTTCTCCTCAATGTCATTTCTTTTTCTAATTAGATTAAGTCATGGTACTATATTCATGAGGCTTTCGACATCACATCTAAGAACTCATTATCCAACATTGCAAAGGGCAGGCAGTCTCCTGATATTCCAATTTCTTTTAAGTTTTATAAAACCACAATATTTCTATTTCTTTAGTGTTTCCGACATGAAGACATATCTACATGTATCTTTCCTTATCACTCCTGCTTTTACTGTTCTATCATATAAGCGCCTCTGTTTCCTGAAATATTTGTTTAGAAAAAGTTAATTGCAAAGTTAAAATTCCACTTGTTAACCCTTGCCGAGCACGAACTTACAGCAGTGAAAGGCTTAAAGGTTTAAAGTCAAGAAACTAAACCAATCAGTCACAGACACCCCAAGTATTTTATCTATTTGCTAAGCAGCAATTTTTTCAAAATTATTTAAATTCATAAATGTGAGTGATTCTGATAAGCTATAGACAGCTAAGTGATGATAAGATGATCATATATATATGTCAGATATGTCGGAGTGCTAACACTGCTTACTGTGAATATTCAATATTTTAATGTGAATTGTCCTGAGGTAAAAAGGAAAAGAAAGCTGAATTCCTAAATACATGTTACATGTCACAATTGTTCTTGCTATTAATTTTGTTCCTAATTTCTTGTATAAGATATTTAAATACACTGTAATTCTTTTTTATAAATTTGGCTTTTTGTGACAATAGTCTATCCAGTGACTGAAGCTCACTGACTTAAAATAAACTGTCCTGTGTCAGCCTTTAAACAAGTCAAGAAAAAAAAAAGCTATTAGAATATAATAATTAAGAAATATCATATACAAATACTTCTAAATAATCATGTACCTCTTCCTTAAAAGCCCATGCTATTGAAAGAAACATTTTTTCCATTTGTTCACTTCAAGGTTAGTCAGATTGACAGTCTCACATTTTAGCCTTTATCTCTCGTGATTTCATTGTCATTGACCCTAAAGCATCCTTAAAATCGATATCCTGCTGTTCACATTCATAAATCTGACATGTAGGCCGAACTTCTGAAACATAAAATATAATTATTATTAGATATACATATAGTATCCTAATAATTATGTTAGTTGATATCAAATCAATAATTTAAGCAGTGTTCGAAATTAGCAGTAGTCTGAGAGCCCGACTACTAAATTTCTCCTTGGGCTATCAACTTTTCACAGTAACAAGCCCGACCAGGCTACTGTATTTTCAGAGGCAATATAAACAACTGTTTTGAACAAATGAATCGTGCTAGTGAAATGTCTTTTGGACAAGTGAATATTCCAATCTAGTAGTCTGACCAGCCTAGTCGATTCAAATCCTAATTTCTTACACTGTTTAAGAAACAATTTGTTCAAAATTGTCCAAGCATAAAGATTTTTATAGTATACTATAGTAATTATAGTGTATATACAGTATGTACGAGGGTTGTTCAAAAAGTAATAGGACTGAGAGTCTTGCATATTCATATTTCATCCAATTTAGAATATTTTCATATGTATAGGGATCGTAAAATGTTTTCGACAATTTATGCATAAGTTTATTAATATATTGTGATGAACGCGTGTTTCCTGTGATATTGAATAACCATGGTAACACACACCCGGCGCAGCACATAAAAATAGTTATTGAAGCTAAGTTGTACTTCAAATTTATTCATAATTTATACCCTGTTTGTCCATATATTCCACCAACACATTAATTTATATTTAAGTGACATTATATCTAAATTTGACATCATTAGGGCATGAAATGGCATAATAATTTAGTTTTGAACAGCTGTGGTCATGACGTTAAATGTTGAAATACGGCACTCGGTAACAAACAGAAATTCGTGCGATCGTTACATTGTGCCTACAAATTCGCAATTTTATTTCAGATACATACAAAATAATAAAATTAAGAAAGGAAAATTATCCTGCCATCAGGACACTCGTTTTCAACTGGTACAATCAATTTAAAAACGGCGATTACAAAATCTCTAACAGGAAAGTGTGAGGATAAAAGGGACGTTAGTGACGTCAATTGCAAAAGCGCTGTAAATGGATCGACGGTAAACGGTACGCGGACTGTCCGGCACTTTTTATGTCTGCTTCGGGTCTACTTATTCAGTTCTAAACAAAGGATTGTATATAAGTCATTTCTATCAAACACTATTTTATTGTTTCTCATTATATATACTTGGTTTTAATAAATGAATATAATAATGATTAACGGTAATGATTAGTAGTATTTTCTCCCAATTTTGTTTTAATAAATGATACCTTTCAATTGATAAATATTGTTATTTTACTGTATATAATAATTTTGTACGTTGAGATACATGTAAAAATTATATAATAATATAAATCGCTTTTGCATATTTAGCATTTTAAGTCCAGGCTTGTTGAGTTCCCAGTTTACTCAAAATATTCGAGACAAGTCGAGAATGGCCGGTTATCGGGCATTTTTCTTGGAGAGTTGAACGAAATTGTGATCGCTTTCTTTCTCGTTTAATCTCCACTGATGGTCACATAATTCAGACACCTGGAACACTAGGGAGAATACTTTCAGAATGAATGACACTTGTTATATTTTGTATTTAGTTAACGACGTCATGAACGTCTTTTATTGTATTCTTTGCGTGCGCCGAGTTTCGTACCCCTTGTCATTTGAAAATTTCACAGAATTCTTATTTGTAAACATTTTGTATTGAAATTTTCACTGTATATAGAGAACATGTTCCGATATTTGTTTCTTGTAAAATTATGTACGTAAATTAAAAAATGTGAACATTAGAGCTGCAGTCCTATTACTTTTTGAACAACCCTCGTATTAAATGTCTTTACTATCTACTATACTGTCCTGAAATTTCAAGAAAACAACTATCTTTAAAATCCATTTTCTCAGAAGTTGCATTGAATGAAATTGCTCTGGGTTTGTATTATTCTGTACAACTTCTGATCACAAAAGCTTCAAGGACATTAATGAGTGAGTCAGGTCCTATCCTGAAAGATTGTTGTTCAAGTTTGAAGACAATCCATTCAAAAATAACAAAGTTATAGCCACTAATAGCAAAAATCAAGAAAATTTAGACATTTACCTTGAATGTTAATATGGTGGTCAAGTTAATTTAGTTTAGTCTGGTCTATTTGAAGGGTTGATGTGGCCAAGTATGAAGACAATACACCAAGATCTGAAAAAGTTATGAACAAGGTTAAAGTTTGATGACAGCAATGGGAAAGCCGTCAGACTAACAATATATTTAATAATTTTGGCCCTAATGCAAACTGAAAATTCTAGCCTATAAACACTGTTGAGACTAGCTGTTCAGCATTTTTTCAATAATAAATAAATGCAATGATAAAGTTGGTAACTTGCAAGTCTTCTAACATTTTTACAAAGAATGAACATATATATATTTTTTCCTTATAATTCTACAATGATGTTCAGTCATTTATATTATAACAAGATATCGGAAAGATTATAGATACTGGTTGGAGAGATAACTCCGACACTAAATCACATATTTTTTGCAATATTTTAATTATCTTCCAGTATATTTTAAATATTGAACCACCTAAACAAAGTTCAGTTCAAAGGCTTTACATTACACCACAAAAACTATATATGAAAATGGAATCTGGTACTTCTTGAAGGTCTTGAATGAGGTATACAAAACATGGTCTTTTTACCCCACAACAGTAGATAAAGTCGACACTTAAATTTTTAAGTAAAAAATGACTGGAAAATCAGCATCAATAATTTATTTTTACATCTTATATGGTTTATCTATTTTTTGTAAATATTTAAAGAATTTTTCAAAAATCTTTCCCAAGTCAGTGGCCTGTGGTCAATACATTTCTAACTACCTTACTGTAATTTAGTAAAAAGAATGTTTTGAAGCAGTTTTTGCCTACAAAAAGTTTAGGTTATTTGAAAAACATTAAAAAGTCTACCAAATTATAACAAATCATCACATTCTGTCCTGTTCCTAACTTCCTATACTGTTAGGTGAATGATCATGTGCATATTTGTTGAAAAACAAAGCTAAAACAATTATATTTATCAAGTGACGGGGTTATCTATGCGTCAGAGTTATCTCTCCGACCAGTATATCAGAAATGAATTGGCCCGTGGACTTTAATGTCAATCATAGAGCTCTTCTGCAAAATGTAATGGTAAGCAAATATCCAGCGTGAAATTTTCAAGTAGCCACAAGTTAAATAAAATTATTAAAAATACTTTGTCATGATTCAATTACTGCTGGAAATTGACCCACAAGTTTTATTACAAATTTATTACAATCAATATTGTCCATAGAAATAATAAATTAATTTTCAGTCTCTTTCTCTTTGCGCTTTCACACAGATTTGAATTATTCAAGTCCATGATTTTCAGAAGGAAAAAATCTTCGATCATCAAACACTAAAAATTACTATACTAACTGCAAATTGCAGTCTGTGCGAAAGGCTGCCTGTCCTTGGACCTCGCCAAATAAAAATCAAGAGGGCCATGATAAATTTTGATACAGTTATCAAATATCAATTGTACACAACAGTTAAATATAATATATTATAAACTTATTTCTATGTTAATAGATAGTCTATATACAATAGAAATGAAAAAGCAAATCCTACACAACAGTCAACACTGTAAATTCGAATCAGGGTCAGATCGGCCCTTAAACGTACTTGGCCCTCGAGACAGCTCGGCCCTATTCCAACTCAGCACGGGTCAACTCGGCCCATAATTACATATTACTGATAATGATTACTTTTCTTACTTTTGATATGTTTTCATCATAACTTTCATGGTTTAACATTTTCACACTAACAGACATCTACTCAAGGATATTGAAAAGTATGTGAATTTGTAGAGAAAGAAAGAATTTACAATTTAAACGCATTTTATGCTACTCCAGATTTTTTGTAAAAAATATCGTTAAAAAGGCATTTGTCATATTAAAAAACAAACAGTATTAAATACAATAAAATTCATTGTCACAAAAATTCAATCTAAAAACTCTATTTATTGATTAATATTTAACATATATTGTCTTGATATCTCTTCTTAAGATAATTATTTATCTTAAAGATAATTTCAAACAATATGTTATTAACTAAACAATCTAAACAATCTATATCCTAATATATGGTTTTAATAGAGGAAGGAGTTGACCTGTCCCGAGTTGGTATAGGGCCGAGTTTACCTGTAAATTCAGTAATGTAAACAATCCTTGACCTAATTTCGTTTGTCTAACAAATTAACATCTGCAAACACAAAACGATTTTGAACAAAGAAATAAAAGCATTTCCACAAACCTTTGCGATGTTATTCATCAGCAAATCTATGTCTTGGATGGAGAAATCTGAAAAACACGAACGTTATTCTGTCGATGGTCCGAACAATGGCGGGTGTGCCCTACTAGATCTAGTCAAAACCAAGTTTTACCAGACTTGTATTGTAATCTTGTTTTTTATTAGGGTAAAGTGATCGTAAGTCGGACACATCACTTTACCCTATTTATATAATAATATTTTTGTTTCAAACGCTTTGATTCTATGAAAGTTTGCGAACCATTTTTTGCGAAAATAGTACGTTTTTTTAAGGCCACATATTGTATCCATTGTTTCCTCTTGAGTTATTGACGTAAAAAAAATCAGCGGTGGCATAAAATGCTATTCAATAAATTGCTAAATATATACAATAAATACTTTCATTTCCCTTCGGTTGACTTACATGTGAATTTTTCAGCATCTCTGCTACAAAATTACACCTTATTTATATTCAATTTATTGTACATAAGGTACATGGACACAAACTTTTCTTTGGCCTAATGCGTAATAATACTGATGTTTTTTTTCCGTACACGTTTAAGATTATGTTCCATTGATGTAAGCTAACATTGAATATCATCATTTCAAGTTTTTTTGAACATCAGCTTTTTCTTCAAGTCATCCACGTTTGAAAGTATACATATAGTTCTGCTGCACTACTTTCTTGGTCGCATTAACTACTTATTTTCTATTGAGCTTAAACAGAATGCAATTAGGTGTTGTTCGTTCTCTTTGATATAGGAGAGACCGATACTATAGAAAGGAAATTTTTTTTTGAAAAAATTTCCTTCCAAAAAGTAGATCTAGACCCAATACGTAAACTACAGACTTCTTTACATAAAATGTAAATGTTATGATAAAAAATATGTACAAATCTCCCATTTATAATCAAAGAAATAAAACACAACTTTTATAATATAAACGAAGTACAATGACGAAAACAAATTTTTAGTACTAATTGTGATATTTAAAAAAAAATGAAATCCAATGTTATATCAGTTATAGCTTTCACCTATCTCATATATTTTAAAACATTATTATATGATCTACACACGTTCATGGCCTTCTATACCATATACGAGGTTACTATTACCTGATACCTTATATAAATGTCATTTGGTATTTTTTACTGTTTTCTGAAATTCTTAAAACGTCCATGTTCACGAACTGTTGACCGGTCAATAGTTTTGACTGTTTCCCTCGCGTGCTCTGACGTCATGTAGATGATTTCCCCTTGGAGCGTCATAGACCAGACGTGACGTGACAGAGTTAAAAGATTGTTAAATTCGTAAACTTAAGTTTAATTATTAACATATTTAAGGAACTATTTTCTTGTTCTTTTTTTCTTCTGCAAGTACTGTTAAAACAGTAATTGATCAGGTAATAAAACAGTTATTTCATACGTGATTTGGAAACAGCCATTCAGTTGTTCCTTTGTGTCGGGGAAAGTGTTTTGAACTGTTTCCCTCGGCCTACGGCCTTGGGAAACAGTTAAAAATACTCTCCCCTCCACCTCGGGCCAATAGATTGAATGTTCCCAAATCACATATGAAATAATTGTATACTGTCTACCGTGCGTTGCGCGTATTTATTTGCAATGTATCAGCCAAAGGATTACGACCGAGTTATCAACGATTTATTGCACAGACACGCATAGTTATTTATGTTTTGGTACATTTAATGCTATAAGCAGTGAACAATAAGCATTAAGCCGTAAGCAGATGACAGTAGGCAATTGACAGTAAGCAGTTGACAGTAAGCAGTAGGCAGTTTACAGTAGGCAGTAGTTAGTCAGAAGTAGACAGTAAGCAGTCAACAGTTGGCTGTCGTTTATGGAATTCCATGTTATAGTCCATGCATTTATTAATTTATCAGTGAATTACTTTAAATGTTGTTCTAAGAATCTATATGTACCTGTAAACTATTAAAGTAAATTAGGAGGCAGAAAAATACTAAGGGTCCAACCGGGTTTTGAACCACAGACCTCTTGGTCCGTAGACGGACACCTCAACCACGTCGTTAAAGGGTTAATCTAACAGCAAGGCTGATAGAAGTGCCCTTTATACCCACAACCACTACACTCCTCCCGTCTTTACTTTTCAGAGCTAGCCAGCTCTCCTGAATGACACTCCCTGCTTACCGCATGAGTCCGTCAAACACTTCTGACACCATTAAAGTTAATTAGGAGGCAGAAAAATACCAAGGGTACAACCGGGTTTTGAACAACAGACCTCTTGGTCCGTAGGCGGACACCTCAACCACATCGCTAAAGGGTTTACCCAACAGCAAGGCTGTTGGAAGTGGCCTATATACCACTGCACTATATTGTGTTTGACCTCCAGAACGGCAACTATTTCGGCAACTGAATAATTTTTTGACCAATATAGTTGTAATAGGTCGTCCATTTTTATTTTAATGCTATAAGCAGTGAATAATAAGAAGTAAGCCGTAAGCAGTTGACAGTAAGCAGTTACCAGTAAGCAGTAGGCAGTCAACATTTGGCAATTCCATAGTATATTGGATTCATTAATGTTCCCAAAGAAATATTGAGATAAATATAAAAGAATATGAAAGTATAACAATTCTGTCATAAACCTAAATCAATACACCGCATAGTTACGAATATCGATCAACAGATCAATTGGGTATTATTTAATATTAACATGTAGTAAAGCCTATCTAGTCAGATTATGAACAGGTATAATATAAAATATATATTAAGATATAGTTCCCCCTTAGCATTTACAAGCGGTTTGCTCAGTAATGTCAAATAATATAACAAATATACATGTATATCCAAATGTTTTTGTTGATGCGTTTTGTGAGAAAGACATCCTCAAAGAGAATGTTTGATCTCACACCTGGTCCGTGGTTGAGAACCAAATCCACCACTTTTATCAAAAACCGTTTCTGTAGTAGATATAAGCCGAAAACTGTCCAATATGTAAAATATTGAATTGCATGAGGCGCGTAGCGCCGAAGGGAATTCAATATTTTACTTATTGGTCAGTTTGAGGCTTATATCTTACTTAAATTACTACTTTTACTATCAAATATCATGTTATCTATCGAAAATTAGAAATAATGTATTTTTGAGCTAGAAATGTACAATATTAATGTTTTAGCAATTATCTTTTTCTTACTTGCAAAACCCTATAGGTAGCCTCTTGAATAACAAAATGTCCGTAGCATGAAATTTTCGTGTTTTGAAATATGACCAATTATGTACATGAACACAATGATATACACAAAATATACCAGTTACACAAAATGTTGGACTTACACACATACAGTATACATGAATTTACATTTGGGATTTTTACAAGGAATAATAAAAATGAAATGTTTTCAAATTTGTGTTGAATCTCGGATATTTTAAATGATTGACTGAAACAATCTATGACTTTTAAGAAGGATTTTTACTGACCATTTAGTGTTAAAATGATATTTTTACTTTACTACAACTATCACGGATGTAAAATTTTGGATATTAATGCAACAAAATGATATTTTCTTATTTTTGAGTAGATATTTGTAATACCACAGGTGTCTGGAATCGTTTCTTTCAAACATAACGGTTACCGCTTTTGTTTTAAATAATGTATTTTTTCTTTTGTATTTAAAAGCTGACCATTACCCTTACTTAAAAAGTTGACCTAACTGAAACATATCGTACATACAATAAAGCAAATCATGTATGATTGTCAACTTAACGTATACATGTATTTAAAACAGAAAAATACGGACAATAGACAAGAAATTAATCCCATAAAAATCATATATTAACTGACGCTCCGCTTTCTTTCACTTGGAAAGCGGAAACAGTGATATGATGTTAAGAGCTTGAAAATCGAAATTCAGTAGGTTTGGAATAAAAATTTGTTAAATGAGTCAGAGAACAAGACTAGTATTGTTCTTTTTATAAAATTATGTAATTGCGTAATGGGCGAAGGAAAGACATTTCATCTTTCCTCCTGTTAACTTCTGAGAAACGAGGCTACATTTTTCTTTTTTTTTTTTTTTTTTTTTTTTTTGTTTTTTTTTTATTTGGAGAATTTTCCACAAAATCATGTGGTCATACAAGCTTCTTTCAAGAGACGGCACGCTGTCTAATATTAATGTGTTACATGATTAATATTGGACTTACACATTAATATTGGACACCTACCTGTACTGTATTAAAAATACAGTACGGTCAGAACAAAGGAATGGCGTCATAGTAGAAATTTAAATGGCCATACAAGGTTTTTGCCATAGACCGCAAAATACAACTTTTGTTTGCTTACTAGGATATGTTTTCATGTGTAAATGATATAAACTTTAAATGTTTTAACACTTACTTTTTGTTTCAGTTCCATCTGTTATTTTCCTACCAAGTGCGACATTTAGCGTCAAGGGGTTGCAACATTTAGCGGCAATCGATTTTTGTGCGACATATAGCGGCAACGTTGCGACATTTAACGGTAGGCGATTGCGACATATAGCGTTGATTGCGACATATAGCGTTAGCGTTGCGACATATAGCGTTAGTTGCGACATATAGCGGCGTTGCGACATATAGCGTTGCTACAAAGAACACATATACATTGGTTTACAAAGTTGGAGTAGATGTGAGTCTACTTAGAGAACATGTGTTAAGATAAGATTTAAAATATGTTAACAGACTTACCGGTAGTTATTTGTGTCTAAAAGTCATTTTGTAAATTGTATATGGTACAAAGTATAAACATTTATTTAATAATATCTTGAAACAAGCTTATATGCAAAGAAGAGTGTCAAATAATACAAAGCCTACAAAAAAAAAAAAAAAAAAAAAAAAAAAAAAAAAAAAAAAAAAAAAAAAAAAACGTGTTGAGCAAAGATATAATAAAATTAACATTATTTTTGTTATTTGGTCATATGATCATTTAAAGTAAATTTATATTACCATTTCAATCTTAATATGATTAAATGTGCAATAAAAACATCTTTATGCTCAAATTATCATATTCACTGAATCATCATATATTAAAACTTCGAAATAACACTCTATATTATAGTATAGTAGCAATCAAAACACAATATAGACTTAACATTATTGGTATGTCTTCAGTCAAATTTTAAATAATATTATAATAAACTCTTTGTCTTTACAAACTGACTTGTTACGCTCTTAACAAAATTGGACTGTATTTTATATCAGTTTGATAATGACCTGCCATGTTGCATTCTATATTAACAAGGTAAATTCTGCTAATTAGTCCAATCCATCTGTAGACAAATACATTATAATACTATAAAGATGCACACTTTTTTTTGTTTGAAAACCTATTTTTTTACCTTTTAATAGTCAGCTTTTAGTAAAAGTATTGCTGTTGGCAGATTTTACAGATGATATACACATATATGAGCCGCGTCACGACAAAACCAACATAGTGCGTTTGCAATCAGCATTGATTCAGACCAGCCTGCGAATTCGCACAGTTTGATCAGGATCCATGCTGTTCCCTTACCAAGTAGAGAAACTGAGAGCGAACAGTATGGGTCCTGATCAGACTGCGGGCATTCGCAGGCTGGTCTGAATCAATGCTGATTGCAAACGCACTATGTTGGTTTTGTCGTGACGCGGCTCATATATGTGTATGCATTTCATATATACACATATATATGCCCATAACATAACAGAATATAGTTTTAATTGTAAAAATTGTAAAATATCTTAAGTCCCTTGTAATTCTACTCAAACTCAAAGAATAGCTATGTACAATGTAATGTTTATCTTTTATGTTGAAATATATGTAACTGTACACAGATGAGACTATAATAAATAAATAATAAAATACGAAAAGTAAGGCGATAATTATCGAGTTGAAATTGTTGAAACAGTATAAGTATCCCTGGTCTATAGAAAAGGTGAGAGACTAGCAAAATTTAAGATATCCGAAATTAAGTACTAAATTTCCCCCTTTAGAGCGTATTTACTAGCGAAATTTTGTGGACGAAATAGAACACCGTGCACAACCCATAATATCATAATGGTACGACCGAATAATGTACATGGAAATTTAACTTCCGCGTTCCAAAGTTGACGTGTTTAGCAACGAAATGTAAACATTCGACAGATAACGTTTGGATCGGAATAAATCAATATATTATGACTTACATGATGATTGTTTAGTTAAATCAGTTTAAAACCCGGACTTGTTTCATTGAAATATCTAAGTTTGTGAAGTCGCTGAATATTGACCTCAAGATTTAAATGTATGTACATGTATATATGTAATTTCTCAAATAGGGACAATATAATCGTTACACAAAATGGCGGAAAGTGGAAGTAAAAAAGGAGAGGATGATAAAGTTCCTGGTCGTGTGAAGGAACATTTGTGTCAACCATGTTTAAGTAAGGATAAGCAAAATGTAGCTGACAAGTTTTGTTCAACTTGTAATGAATTTCAATGTAATGATTGTTCAAATGTACACAACGTGCTCGCGATCTTGAAAAATCATAAATTGGTGAGCGTGAAAGAAGGTAATCCTTCAACTACTTTATTTGAAATGAAGAACTTAGAGTTATGTGATCAACATCAAAAACTTTTTGAATTCTTCTGTGAAGATGACAATAAGCTTTGCTGCAGTACTTGTGCTATTGTAAATCACCGAAAATGTCATAGCGTTGTAGAAATTAAGACGATCGCCGGAAAAATAACCTCACCAATTTCTACCTTAGGGGAGAAATTGAAGGAAGCTAAAAAAGCTGCTGAGAGTGTTGCGAAACATATTTGCTCTTCAAAAGATCAACTTGCTGAAGATATAAAAGAAATACATGTAAAGATTAGACAAATGCGAGACGAAGTAATCAGAATATTTGACGATTTAGAAGATTCCGTCGCCAAGAGAGCTAAAATTCTTCAGCGAGAAACATTCGAGAATCTGTCAAAGAAACAAACACAAAACAAGAAACATTTGGCTGATGTTACATCGTGCTTAGAGACGATTGAAAGTATTTTCAAAAATGGAACTCCAGTACAGAAATATATAGCGGAACATAAAATGGAGAGTAACGTCAATACTCTCTGCAGAAACACCAAAGAAGAATGTCAGAACTTAGAGACGGTAAACATATCTTTTCATTTTGACGAAACATTAAAACTGCCGCCATTGCAAATTACTGAATATGTTCCAGGACAATTATTATTAAAATCTACTCGTCAGGGAGATGTTAATTCTGTTAATAAGGCGATGAAATTAACACCAATTTCTGCTATTTCTTTGAAGAAGACGGGAGATGATATCAATGAAACGTTATATTCTGGTGTAGATTTTCTACCTGATGGTAGACTGGTGGCTGTAGATAACACAAACAAGAAATGTTTAGTGTACAATGAGAAGCTTGAGAAAGTAGGATCATACCAGCTATCTTACCACCCATTATCTGTTGCTGTAATATCTGAGAAGGAAGTAGCGATTACACGCGGTATAGGATACAAAATAGAATTTCTACATGTTAGCAAATGTAATGAAATAAGGTCTAGTAAGATATGTAACGTGAACACGAACTATTACTCTATATGTTTGAAAGATGATAGACAGTTTGTAGTAGGGACTTTTGATGAACCAAGACCTGTTCGTATTGTATCATTGACAGGAGAGGAGCGTGATTTTAGTGTTAACTTTCCAAACAAGATATATCCTATAGACACTAGCGCTAGTACTTACATAAAGAGCAGTGACAAAGTGGTGATTACAGATAGAGACGAGCATACTGTCTACATATATGATATCAAGACAGACACGAGAGTCGTTGTGAAGGATGATCAGATACAGTTACCACGTGGTGCAGCAGTTGGACCTTCTGATACTATCCTGGTATGTTGTGGCAAAACAAACACCATTGTACAGATATCCCAAACAGGTCAGATATTATCATCGTACAAGCTAGATATGACATATCCATTTAGAGTATGTGTCTCACGTGATAAATCATTCATTGTTGTTGCAAATAACTGTCCTGGAAATAAGATAATGCAGAAATTCAAAATATCATGTTAGTAACACAATTTTCTGTTTCATATAGAATTTACACACCCATGCAAAGTTATTAAAGAAAGAAACAAGAATTTATTGGTTACATATGATGGATCATGGAATAATACTTGCGTTCTAGCATCGAAGTAGCTGTTCATAAAAAAGACATTCAAATAAAACAATATGCTGAGAAAAAGTGTGCTAACAAAAAAATTGTAGTAAATGTATACCATGTATACAATGACAGACAGATTCAGGTGTTAACAATTTAATATTAATAATTCCAAGGAATTCAATGGATATATTAAACATCGCTAACATCAGGTGTAAACAATTTAATATTTATCATTCTAATGATTTCAATTAATATATAAATTTATTTCATTTTAGGCAAACATGCCTTAAATTTGAATGTCATCTATTAATCGACAGATTGTTCTTTTCACGTGCAGACTCAATCAAACACAGTTTGCATGTTTCATGTAATTTTAATTTGATTAATGCTTTTGAAAGAGCACCCTTTCTCTAAATTTTTATTTTGAACAGCTTATATGTAAAGTAGTAATGTTCTAACCATAGTTATCTTATTTGTTTTTATCATCACATAATGTTGACTGTATTATCATGCATTTGTTTGTAATTATCAAATTGCCGAAGATTTTTTTGTTCAAATATTTGTGATATCATGTCACTACGTTATTTTAATATTTTAAACACTCACTTCCTGCCTGACCTGAAAGTGATTAGCCTTTGCCATCAGTATACAGCCAAGCCAGCATGTACATTTGACCAGTCTAACCAGTGTTTTTCTATTCTAATACTGAAATCTTATACACCTCAAATGGGCTGCACCAAACTTAATAAAGGCAAATCCATTTCATGAATTAAACAGGTTCAGGATTAGTAAAGATAAAATTAACATCAGTTTCTTAGCTTCAGTTGACTCCGCTATTATAAAATATATCATAATTTAATAGATATGTAAAGAATCATTGTTAGTCATTACATGAAAGTTATGTTAGAAAATGTATATATTTTACTGTGTCTTATTATATATCTAATATTATGCTCATCAGGATGAATAAATATAACTATACGGAGTAATAGTATTTGTGTTTTATGTTTTAATTGCATTGTTTTATCTGAATATCATACATATTCCTTCCGTAAATATTCAGAAGAAAAGAAAAAAAGCTTAACGTAAGAAATATATTCCCATGGTATATAATGACATTGTTCTATAAATGCAGATTTAAAACAATGTTAAATAATTATATGTTTTAGGTCTAATCAATCAATCAATCGTTTTTTTTTATTCAGAATGATTTTCAAATGATCAATATTGTCAAACAATGCTTAAAGTGCAATTAATTGCTACTTGAATTAACAAATTCACGATTTCAGCAACACGAATTTATGATTTCAACTTCATAAAATTACGTTTTGAGTTTCACAATATCAACTTTACAAATTCAAGATTTTCAACTTTTTGAATTCTTGAAAAAAATAATGATGTTGAATTCGTGATTTTGAGATCGTGAATTTATGAAATTTAAATTTTACCACCGTACAAGAGGGTGTAATTTAAAAAACCTTTTAATTTTGTCAGCAGGTAAAATTTCAAACATCTTTCATTCAACACAAACAAATAAGCTTCATATTGGACAATTTATTTTATTATTTGATTTTCAAAAGGACAATGTAGGGGATGAGAGCGGTCATCCTTGAATATAATATAAACGTGCTGAAACTATTTTATTGGTAAATAAATGTGTGGCATTTGACTAAAACCTATATTCATGTCAAATGATATAAGCACATGAGCATAGCCCAGTGAAAGGCATGAAAAAAAGTTTTTCAATAGTTCGTTGGAACAGGTTCCAATTCCGGTCTATTTATACAATGTTCAATGTTTATGTCTCTCCCATATGCGTCCCCGGTAATAATGCCTGAAATGAAAACAGCCGTAGTCTAAAAAAGTAGATCTAGACGCAATACGTAGAATTACTGGCTTCTTATATGCAGACTTCATAATCTCTGACCAACTTTCAAAATTCCATTTTGTTTAATAACGCCATTGTTTTGTCGTTTAGTTTTACTTTGGCGAGTTTTTACGTAGCTTTTCATGGAATGCCACTAACGTGCCACATTGAAGGTTCCATGATTATCGCCGTATGATGTTTCTTAGTGGTGGGTTCAGGGCTTGGATCTAGGGTCGCAGCCCCCATCCAGGTTAGCCAAAAGATACATTCATTAACTGGCATATATTCGTGCCAGTTTCATGCTATATTGGTCACAGTGTACACCCTTATCAAAACATTTAATGCTGTCATCCGTATGTTGATCACCTGCCTGTCTGTTTGTATTTGAATTTATTCATACTTGCCACTGGTTGCCCGTTTGGCTAGTCCTCCGAAAGAGTATTAGTCATTTTACATTTTAGAGGACACAGATACAAAATGACCCAATTCCAAAAGATTCGCTTGGTTCCAAGTGCCAAGTGTTTAAGCAGTCATACACGAGACTTTCAAATCTCACCCGAAAGACTGATAAGTAATGTTAGGTGGCCAGCCCGGGAATGAAACCCACAATGTCGAGATAAAAAGAATCGCGCTCTCACCGATTGAGCTAAGCAGTCTTGTCTCTTGTCGGGGGGGGGGGGATAGAAATCTTTAACTATTAACTGCTTGAATGACTTGCCAATGAACATTAAAACGGCAAAATTTATTGACTCATTACTTTCCAAATGTTTAATGAAAATAATTAAGAGTCACTAATAGTGCCGAATACATGTAGATGTGTTACGCTACACTATATATAGTTTTCTCTTGTTTTTCCACATTCTACGCGGAAGTCCTATAATTTATTAAAGAATTGAAAATTGTGATTTAAAGGAATTTAAAAGCGAGTTTTATAAAAATATAACAGTTGAAAGAATTGATTTACTGGTTGTTCTAAGATTTTTACTAAGATGAAGTAATTAGTAATTTGCTTTTAATAATATTTAATATTCTAAGCTGCCTTGAATATATTTGAATTGTAATTACCTCTTAAATATCTAAATGAAATAAAATGCTTATTTAATATTAGTGTTTTATTCTTTTTTTTGTAGAATAAAAAGCAGTATTTAACTTTGGTAATTCGGTTACTTATTTATCAGTCAAGTAAATTGACTGTTTATAAATTTAAAATGATTTCAACCCTTGCAGTATATTGGTGAGACCCCATTCACATAAAGTTTTTATCTATTTCAATATCACCAATATTGATACAACTAAAACTCTGATAGTAGTATAAACACTATCAAAGAAACAAATTGCCACTAAGATGAGATACAAGAGACGTCTGTTACATTTTTGTCACATATACAAGATACTACCTCAATCTTCATTTTTCGTCTGTCGCATTGTTTCTGTCAAAAATCTCCCATCTACATGTCAGCCGCCATGTAACATTGTTCTGTATCCGCCACTGTTTCTTACTTCAAAATTTTCAGCATTTGAATGTTTAATACTGCTGATAGGGGTCGTGGACAGAATTTGGCAGCACTTTCCAGTACTAACCATGAACGTGTTTAATCAAACCAATCCTGCAACATTTTCAATTTTTTGCCGAATTTAACTTTAGATTGTGTTTGATATAGCATGCCTTACATTTGTTTTGCCCCGAAGTAAAATATATAACAAAGTGTTATTTAGAATAGAGAACATAAGAATGAATACCCAAAGAAAGCCAAAATTGAAAGAGTTGCAGGCTCGAATTGACTGAGTCTGCTCATGGACGGTACTGTCAAGTGCAAACTACCGTTCACGCCCCATAACACAGGCAAGCAGAATTTAACATTTAAACATGGTTAACATGTGTTCAAACGGCGGTTATCATAAAACCTTCAATGTGCCCGTCCAATGCCATTCCACGAAAAGCGGCGTTTGGTCCCCAAGTAATAGAAAGCAAGTGCCTTAAACGAGAAAACAATGGGCGGAACTAAACAAAATGGATTTTTGAAAGGGGTCCGGAGGTTATAAAGACTGCATGTCACAGATAAGACGTCACAATACAAAGTCAAAAAGCAGGCAACATATCCTTAGGTTGATTCAACATTATTCAAAAGGAATAATTGAACCACCCAACTAAAGAATGCCAAATAGTTAAAACTAAAAATAATACAAACACAACAATTTGACGTGCTATAAGAATCTTACACTGGCTGCGGTACATACCGGCATATCTAGCTCGAGGGTTACTGTTTACGGCGCAACGAGGCTCTGCCGAGTTTCCACTAAACAGTTTTCAGACAGGTACTTGATGTTATTTTCATGACTTGAGATGATTATCGCTCTATTTCTTCATTTACAAAATATTTCTTTTGCCATAATCAAAATGTGCCGCGCTTTGAAAGTGAGAACCAGTCTGGCTTTAGTCGGAGCCATTCGGTAACATATTTGTTCTCACTTTCAATGTTTATTTCGCCTGTTTCGTTGTTTTGATGATGTTGAAATTCCAGATTGACCATCAGCGTGGAGAATAATATCTTCTGTGTCGATGGACAAAAGGATTATGTGAAAATATTGGAACTTGAATGAAAAACAACCCGATTTTGAGTGTAGGGGTACGAATATGTTTAATCTTGTATATTATAACATTGAAATATTTTTTTTTCAAAACGGCTTCAAACTTCAAAAAGTTTTTTTTCATCTATATAAAAAGTGTGTGTGCTGGGATTTACAAAATATTTTTATTTGGATTTTAAAGGCGATTTGAGCTTCACAACCCAAAATATATGTGGTTACATGAATAAAGAATGTTCCGCAACCTGCGGTACCTTTGTAATCAGATTCTTCACTCATGAATTTATTACAAATAGGACAATTATTTCTATGATCAAGTTCATAAATATTTATTGCGAATTGTCATTTACACAGCAATCTAATGCTAATGCCGTAACATTAGCATTCATCACGTGATATTGAATACATGTTATGTTTATCAACCGTGGGTAGGCGATTGTCTGGTTATAAATTTACGAAATGGAGTTCGCACATACAGCTTTATGCATGCACATTTATAAATAAAAAAATGATAAAATTAAGATATTGTAAGATAAAATTAATCGAAAAAAATGACAATATATTTGACATTAGGCGCGTTGTTATTGGCAACAGGTTTATCCAAAATCAAGGTCAGATATTGAAGGACACTCAAGATATTTTGGATACAATACTGTCAGGATATAATTCAGATATCAGACCGGCATTCAATTAGTCATTACCTGCAGATGTAAGTGTATGATTAGTTCACACCTTATTGATATATCAGACATCCCCATTGAATATTACCGACAATTCGACACCTTAATTATTTTTCTTTAATATTTACGATTGAGGGCATTAAGATACATTGTATTGAGTTTGACTTTGAGGTTATGAGAATTAATAAGGATATTGAGTTTTATTTAGAGATTTTGTGAAAATATAGGTTTTTATTTGAGACTTCATGAAGGTATCTAAAATTTAACATTCATGAATAGTTTTTGAATAGACTGGGTTCGTTTAAAGTTTTAATGAATAAATGGTTAAAGTATTTATAATTAATAAATAGGGGTATGGATAAAGAATTATGAGGATGTTATGCTGGGTGATTAATGCCATGTCGTATTTTCGGTTTTTTACGCCTCAAAATGCGAAAACATGCAGGGACTTTGTCGTCTCTTCGTGTTATGCATTTTCGGATTTTCGAGGCGAAAAAGCGAAAATACGACAGAAGGAAGGCGAATATATGACACATAAAATTTGTCGTATTTTCGATTTTTCGCGTTCAAAATGCAAAAATGCGAAAATACAAACAGACGACAAAGGATAACTTTGTCTTCTCTTCGCATTTTTACATTTTCGCATTGTTGTATTTTCGCATTTTCGAATTGTTACATTTTCGCATTGTTGTATTTTCGCCTTTTAGAATTGTAACAGTTACATTTTTGCATTGTTACATTTTTGCTTTTTCGCTTTGTTCCGGTTGTACATGTCCATTCAGACATCAATTTATTACTATCATTATTATCATTATTGCGTTTTGTGAGTGTATGATTATTTGACAA